GGCAGGGACAAGAGACAGGGCCTTCTCAGTGATTGCACCCTAGCTATGGAACTCCCTTCCTAGATATATTAGTTCTTCAAAAGGATGGTGAAGACCTGGCTGTGGGGCCAAGCCTTTGGGGCAGGGCAAAGAGGCAATAATAGAATGGTGTCCTGAGATGGTTTTTAAGAAACTGATTTTAAAGTGGATGTAAGGGTTTGTGTATATTTATAGTTTTATGTCTTGGCATTTGATGTTTGCCGAATATATGTTGTGCTCTTCCCTGAGTCCCCTGCAGGGTGGGAAGGGCGGAATATAAATATTTCAAATAAATAAATAAACAAACAAACAAACAAACAAACTAGGCAAGTGGGGTTTATACATCTGTGGAATGATGTCAAGGGTGGGAGAAAGAACCCTGGACATTATTCACAGATATATAAATGTCACTTGCTTAGTTTCCAACAGACCAAACAACCTCTGAGGATGCCTGCCATAGATGTGGGTGAAATGTCAGGAGAGAATGCTTCTAGAACATGGCCATAAAGCCCAGAAAACTCAGAACAACCCAATCAATTTCATATTTGGTCCCATCACTAAGATTATGTACATTAAGTACCTCTATGCAAATACATATATTCCAAATACTTTAAAAAAACAGAAATCAAAAATACTTCTGTTCCCAAATATTTGGAGTAAACAATAACAATCATCAGCCCTTAAAAACATCATTTGACCCATTTGTGGTTTTAACTGGCTAAAGACCGCCATCTTGAGGCAGAGAGGAGCAATAACAAGAAATCAGGTCAACTTAATGTTTACTTCAACCAATGTTTGCATTTTTCCCCAGGAGAAACATCTCTAAAAACAAGGTGCACCTTAGAATTGCACTTGCATACAAATAATAGAGAAATGATAGAGATAGATTGATAGATAGCGAGAGAGAGACAGACAACTTTTTCTCTGTACTGAAAGTAGTATGTGACTTAATGGTGTCATAGGATAGAAGAAACATGGTAGATCTTCCTATCTATAGCAATCCAAACACTGTAGATTTTAATGTTTTTAAACTGTATACAATCATAAAATAGAATAATAGAATCCTAGAGTTGGAAGAGACCTCATGGCCCATAACCCAGTCCAACCCCATTCTGCAAAGAAGCAGGAAAATCGCATTCAAAACACCCCGAACAGATGACCATCCAGCCTCTGCTTAAAAGCTTCCAAAGAAGGAGCCTCCAGCACACTCCGGGGCAGAGAGTTCCACTGCTGAATGGCTCTCACAGTCAGGAAATTCTTCCTCATGTTCAGATGGAATCTCCTCTCTTGTAGTTTGAAGCCATTGTTCCGTGTCCTAGTCTCCAGGGAAGCCGAAAACAAGCTTGCTCCCTCCTCCTCCCTGTGGCTTCCTCTCACATATTTATACATGGCTATCATATCTCCTCTCAGCCTTCTCTTCTTCAGGCTAAACATGCCCAGCTCCTTAAGCCACTCCTCATAGGGCTTGTTCTCCAGACCCTTGATCATTTTAGTCACCCTCCTCTGGACACATTCCAGCTTGTCAATATCTCTCTTGAATTGTGATGCCCAGAATTGGACACAATATTCAAGGTGTGGTCTAACCAAGGCAGACTAGAGTATGGGTAGCATGACTTCCCTGGACCTAGACACTACACTCCTATTGATGCAGGCCAAAATCCCATTGGTTTTTTTGCTGCTGCATCACATTATTGGCTCATGTTTAACTTGTTGTCCATGAGGACTCCAAGAGCTTTTTCTTTTTCTAGCTTTTAATATTGTGAACTGCTCTCCGTCCTTGAGATAAAAGTGAGGTACAAATAATAATAATAATAATCATCATCATCATCATCATCATCATCTCTTCGGTGTTTTTGCAATGCACGAGTTCTATTGGATTGCCTCATTGCAGAACTCCATCATGAAACATGCAAGTCCTGCACATCTCTGGACTTGAATGGGAGGCTTCCAATAAATACCTGTTGCTATAGGGCAGGGGTCCCCAGGCTAAGGTGACTTGAAGGCCTAACCACAATGGCATCAAACCATAGAATCATAGACTCCTAGAGTTGGAAGAGACCTCATGGGCCATCCAGTCCAACTCCATTCTGCCAAGAAGCAGAAAAATTGCATTCAAAGAACCCTTGACAGATGACCATCCAGCCTCTGTTTAAAAGCCTCCAAAGAAGGAGCTTCCACCACATTCCATACCATCCAACAATTTCCAGAATTAGCTGGGACTTGTGTAGCCAAACATCCTCATTGTGTGGTTAAGATGGCAAAGGTTATGAATGAAAAGAGGTATGCAAGCTAAGAGAGAGTACAGCAGATTGCTTTTGTCTGCGTCTACTGGGAATTGCAAAATTTCATCCCTTACCATGGAAATTACGTTTGTAGTTTGAACTGAGATTGCAGCAATGGAAGTAAGCCAAAGACAACAGGAAAGGAAGAGAGAGACATCCAGACATGTTAAAGGTGCCTGCGTAGGTGCAATGGTGTGCTGTGACTTGAGATAGCTGGATGGCGAACCTATAGGTATAAGGAAGAATGGTGTTTCGTGTGTCATTCAATGGTTATCAAAAGAGAGCTAACTGGCTGGCATTCAAAGAGATCTTGTAGCGCTTCTGAGACAAATGGTGCCTCGACACTGTAGAATGAATGCAGCCTGACATCCCCTTTACTGCCATTGCTCAATGCTATGGAATCATGGGAGTTGTAGTTTGACTAGGCAGTAGGAGAGAATGATAAAGAACTGGTCACACTACACCTCTCAGGATTTGATAGCAATTAAAGGAGTGCCAAATTGCACTGGTGAAACCTGACCTGGAATACTGTGCAAGAATTCAAGTTGGAAGGTGTCCAGAGAAGGGCAAGTAAAATGCTTTGGAAACCAAGCTCTCTGAGGAATGGCTTTGGACCTGGGTATATTAAACTTGGAATGAAGAAGATGGAGAGGAGACATGATAGCCATGTTGAAATGTTTGAAGAGATATCATTATCAGTGTCATGTCAATATATATATTGTACAAGTTTAAAATATCCATGCTGCTAGCTGGGAAATAATTAATTTTTGGAACATTATGAAGCATACGTAAACAAGGAAGATGTTGCCATAGACTAGGAGGCTGGATTAATGAGCTGATAACAGTGGGGTATAAATATAGCAGACACCATTGTTCTGCTTCTTCTCTCTTGCATCGCGACCATGCTAATGAGTAGTAAGTGTTATTGCAATGAATGAAATGTAAATAAGGATAAGAGCCGCTTATTGAAGCAGAAACAACTGTCTGAAGTCAGTTAATTGGATGATATGAAGCAAGTTGGCCTTGATAAGGGTTATGGGCCCAGCATGCTTCTGCTGTTTTCTGTTGCTCTCGAGATTGAGAGACAAAATGATGGTTTCAAAATAGAAAAAAATATTTTACCTAAATGTTAGGCAGATCTTCTTGACTGTAAGAGCTGTTTAACCATGGCATGGATGGCCTTAAAAAGTGGCGGACATGAGAATGTGTAGGAGGTCTTTAAACAGAGAGCAGTCGTGTGAAAAAGATCTTGGAGTCCTTGTGGACAAGTTAAACATGAGCCAACAATGTGATGCGGCGGCAAAAAAAGCCAATGGGATTTTGGCCTGTATTTATTTATTTATTTGGAAGTTTTCTATACTGGCCTTCTCACCTCAACGAGGGACTCAGGTCGGTTTACAACATATATGCAAATACAATAATATATAAGTACAACAGAGTGCAGTGTCATTACAGATTAAAATAGTACAATAAAGTACAATAAAAACATCATCATCACAATTACCAAGTCATCAATACAGTCACAGTCATAGTCACAGTTCATCATCCTCCTTCCATGTGGACGGAGGTTATAGATTCAGTCCTCGAATGCCACATTCCAGAGCCAGGTCTTTAGTAGTTTCCTGAACGTCAGGAGGGAGGGAGCAGATCTAATCTCTAGTGGGAGGGAGTTCCAAAGCCGGGGAGCCACCACCGAGAAGGCCCTGTCCCTCGTCCCCACCACCGTGATTGCGAGGGTGGTGGGACCGAGAGCAGGGCCCCTCCAGAAGATCTTAATAACCTTGATGGTTCATAGGGGAGAATCCGTTCGGACAGGTAAACTGTATTAATAGGAGTCTAGTGTCTAGATCCAGGAAAGTCATGTTACCCCTCTGTTCTGCCTTGGTTAGAGCACACATGAAATATTGTGTCCAATTCTGAGCACCACAACTGAAGAGAGATATTGACAAGCTGGAATGTGTTCAGAAGAAGGTGACTAAAATGATCAAGGGTCTGGAGAACAAGCCCTATGAGGAGCGGCTTAAAGAGCTGGGCATGTTTAGCCTGAAGAAGAGAAGGCTGAGAGGAGACATGATAGCCATGTATAAATAGGTGAGAGGAAGTCATAGGGAGGAGGGAGCAAGCTTCTTTTCTGCTGCCCTGGAGACTAGGACGCAATGGAACAATGGCTTCAAACGACAAGAAAGGAGATTCCATCTGTACATGAGGAAGAACTTGGAGTTGTGAGAGCTGTTCAGCAGTGGAACTCTCTGCCCCGGAGGGTGGTGGAGGCTCCTTCTTTGGAAGCTTTTAAACAGAGGCTGGATGGCCATCTGTCAGGGGGTGCTTTGAATGCAATTTTCCTGCTTCTTGGCAGAATGGGGTTGGACTGGATGGCCCACGAGGTCTCCTCCAACTCTATGATTCTATGATTCTATGAGGTTGAATGGGAAATTTTGGGAAGTGCTTTAGCTATCTATAACAGCATGGCAGGGGTTGGACTAGACAATCTTTGTGGTCCTTTCCAAGTTTGGGTGGCACAATCAGTGCATTGTCCCATAGGCAGAAAATTAATTTACCCAACCCCCAAATAGGATCCTGACCACCTTAACAGTCATGAAAAGCCATTGGGTAAACTTGGACAAACTGTACACTCTCAGTTACCCCAAGTTTGAAATGACTTGCAGACTTTGATGACTCCGGTGTTCTTCTCTCCTCCAGATTGACAGTATGCAAGCCCTGTTGCACTGTCCGAATGTGTTGGTCTGCGTCGGCCGGGAGCCTTTCAAGCCAATGGTGAAGGAAAACCCCAGGAAACACTCTTCGGAGAAACTGCCGGGCCTGACATCTCGAGCCAGCAGCAACAACAACGGCGAAAACCAAGAAAGTAAGACTAGTGGTACATTGGCTTTTCCAAGGATGTCATGGCAGCTAGTCAGGCCTCCAGATTTGTGGGGTTCACATTTGAGGATCTGATTGTTATGTTTTCTCCAGGAATCTCCAGATATGGCCAAAATCTTCCATAGTGTTGCACTGGAAGACCTAAAGACTCCTAAAGGGAATACATCAATAGTCATTTTGAAGGTCCACCATGGTTAATGTCTAGCGGAATTTCACCATAGAGGTGCACTGGAGGGCCTAAAGCAGGCATGGGCAAACTTGGGCCCTCCAGGTGTTTTGGACTGCAACTTCCACAATTCCTAACAGCCAGTCGGCTGTTAGGAATTGTGGGAGTTGTAGTCCAAAACAACTGGAGGGCTAAAATTTGGCCATGCCTGCCCTATAGATTCCCAGAGAGCTGTATATGCAGATGTTTTTTGTCTGCATTTTTCCCAGCTCCTAATCTCAGCAAACGTGGAGGGATGACTATAAGGTCTTGCATGCCAGTGGTGCAGTGACTCCACTGTAGGGTCTAGTCTGAAAAACCGAAAGAGCTAGCCAATATGCTGAACCTCTTTGGAGGTAAATGTTCAACCACCTCTAAAGTCTTGGTTGTGAAATTTTCCGAATGCTAACAAAACTTTCCAAATTACATTATAAATGGCAGTTTCTAATTGGTTCTGCCATAAAAACATAGCAAAAGTTTATTTAACTGCAAAAACTGTCTTTGTGCAAGGGACATCGCCCTATAGCACATTTTGGTTTGTCGAGTCTCCACCAATTTAACAAAGTTTCTGACTCAAAAACAAAGCTTCTGGAGTAAATACCACACCATGAATCAGGAAATAACACTCTCAAACCAGGAACAGATTTTCTTTATTATTAAAAAAAAGTTTTATAAAAACTTTGAAAAATCAGTGGATAAGTCAAATGTTCTGAAATTTGGTGAGCTAACAGTGGTGAAATTTTGAAAGTTTGAAAGTCTCAACAAAAGTTTGCTCCAGTCACTGTCAGGCCGTTATATGCTAATCAAGGTGGTCAGTTGAAACATTCACACCTAGCTCCAGCAGGCAAGAGTCCTTTGCCCCATCTGGGTCATTTCACAGATATATAAACCTTTTTTTCCTAGTTCCAACAGACCTCACTACCTCTGAGGATGCTTGCCATAGATGCAGGCGAAACGCCAGGAGAGAATGCCTCTAGGACATGGCCATATAGCCCGAAAAAACCTACAAAACCCACTGAGAGTCTACTGTATTATTACATCATTATCATTGTCATTGTGGTTGTGGTTGTCTGCTGGACCTAGGTGTGAATGTTTCAACTGACCACCTTGATTAGCCACTGTCAGGCCATTATATGCTAATCAAGGTGGTCAGTTGAAACATTCACACCTAGCTCCAGCAGACAAAAGTCCTTTGTCCCACCCTAGTATATAATTTTAAGATATATAAACCCTTTTTCCTAGTTCCAACAGACCTCACTACCTCTGAGGATGCTTGCCATAGATGCAGGCGAAACGCCAGGAGAGAATGCCTCTAGACCATGGCCATATAGCCTGAAAAAACCTACAACAACCCTTTGAAAGTTTTGTTAGAGTTCTGAAATTTTCACCACCAAAACTTTAGAAACACTTTAGAAACAAAGCACCAGCGCCTCCTAGTTTTGTAAGGATTTTAGAATAATTTAGAACCATGGATCACACGTGCCTAGTCATGGAGATATTCCCCTTTCCTTATTGTGTCCCATTTAATACCTTTAGCACCTACTCTTGTAACACTTTTTCCATCTTCTCATTCCTTCCCACACCCACCCTTTTAAACCATAGTGAACTTCGGACTTGAAGCCAAAAAGAGTGTGATGCACCCACGGTCATCCTTGAGCAATCGGTCTCAAAGGTTTTCCTTGTCTTCGGAAAAATCCTCCATCAATGGCCTGACAACGTCATCTGAGAATGGCGCTCCATTTCCACGCAATTGTCCGCACTCGAAAGCAGAAGACCTGACCCATTCCTTAGTCAATGACGACATAGAGAAGAAGGTCCATGTGAATAAAGATGGCAGTCTGTCTGTCGAGATGAAAGTACGCTTCCGTCTGCTGAATGATGAGACACTGCATTGGTCCACGCAGCTCAAGAAGTCCATGCATAAGATACCTGGTGAAGAACTCAGTGTCAGCAACGACAATGGAGTAGAGCTCACGGAGAACCCAGAAGCTAGCTCAGAGCTGGATGACGCTTCCCTCCTCTACCCCTGCGATATTGATTCTTACATGTCCAACGTTGATGAGTCAGAGATCGACGAGGTCCGTTGCCGTAATTGTGGGAAGCCGTGCAAGGACTATGACATCTGGAAGAACCCCATGCACATTTCTCAGAAAGAGGAACCAGGGGTGAGGAGCACTTGGTACACCCATTCTTCATGCTCAAGCACTTCATCCCACCGGAGGATCGTCCGCAAAAAGGTGGCCTCCGTGGACAGCATCCGCACCTCGTCCAGTGGAGAGGAATATTCCAAACATGTGGTCAGAGAATCTTCTCATTACTCAGAGACTGTAGAGAATACGGTAGAGTATCGTGAGGTTAAAAATTGCTGCTGTCAAGGTGGTTGCGGCCAGTCCGACACAAGCCAAAGGGGGACGCCTGAGGCAATGGACACCATAGTCAATTCAGTCGGTTTGCAAAACGAGGAGGAGGATGCAGCAGAGGGAGGAGAAAATATCAACACTGGTAGCCGACCAGGGAGTAACAAATCGAAATCCTCTCAAGCTTCAGCAGAAAGCCAAATAAGAATATGTGAAAAAACTAGCAGTTTGGAAAGGACCATTTCGTCTGGTAGCATCAAGGAAAAAGGAGAGCTTGAAGATGCTGTTGCCTGCTCATCCCCTCCGAACAGTGTCTACAGCAGGTCTGGTAAGGGCAGCATATTTGACGGAGGACAGGAAAATGCTGATGAGGTTTCCGAGAATGACCGTGCAGTTTCTTCTATCTCCATGGATTCGTGTGCTAAGAAAGATGTAGCAGGGGATGAAGCTGAAAAGGAGGATGAAGAGATCAATGAAATATATTCTGTTTCAGAAAATCCATGCTCCAATCCATCCATCAAAGATGATACCAGTGAATGTGGACGTTCTTCTACAGCAAGGTCTATAAGGTCAGTATCTAGTGCTGGAAACCATAGGAGAAACAACAGCAATGAAGTTCACCTGTGCAGTGCTGCATCAGCTTCCTCCAGAACTTCCAGGAAGAGCAAGCCAAGCCAAAATCACCTGGAGGTGGCATCCAACAGGTCCGTTGGGTCATCTCGAGGGTCTACCTCCAGTAAGAAGAAGAAAAAACCAAATGGTTCTTTCCAAGCGGAAGATGCAAGGTCCAATAGCAGGGCTTCTCATTATTCCAGAAGCTCATATGAAGTGGATAAAAGAGATTCTGGCCATGCATCCCAAGATTCAAGCCCTCCTCACTCCCATGTGTCATCCTCAAGTGAGGTGGCAGCTCCTCCAGCTTACAAAGCGGAGAGTACAAGCAGTCTTTCCAGGTGCTACAGCAGGTCCTCCAGAAATAGCCCGAAGGAGAACCTGATAGAGGGCTCCATCAAAGTACCATCTCATTGTTCCAGCTTTTCAGACTATGGTGGGGAAAATGGAGATGGAATTCCCAAAGTTGGCTCTCCAGAAGGCTCTTCAAGGCAGGGAGGTGTGTCTGAATCCACTTGTTCAAAATGTGGCCACATTACGAAACCCTGTCGCGATGACCTTCGAAGCACTAGTTCAAAGGTTTCTTCACACTCTGAAGCTAGGAGCAGATGTGCAGAGACGGAAGCTTCAAGGAGAAGTGATGATGCTTGCTCACAGTCAAGCATAGCAATGTCTTCCAAACCAAGACGAAAGAAAGCCAACAGCCTCCATGCTGATATTGAAGGTTCTAGCCAAGTATCAGCCTCTGAGTCCATGTACAGTTTGCGCTATCCCTCCCCTCCGAAAGGGAGGCCTGGTAGCAGAAAAAGTAGGCCTCTGCTCCTGAAGAAGAGCTCTAAAGGGACCAGTGCATGCACAGAATCCGAACTGATCCCAGACAAGGAAGAGAAAGAAGTGACTGTCTCACAACCCCCTGAACCTTTGAACACAGAGGAGGGGACATGCCAAGAGAAGCTCCAAGAAGAAACAGAAATTGAACCTTTTGCTTCCTGTGGTGGTGACGAAATCATTCCTTCTTCTTTGCCCAATGCCTCTCTGGAACAAGTTGTTCATGAATGGCTAAGAAAGATTCCTTCTGAGACCCTGCTGATGAAATGTGAGATGCAGGATGACGGAGAAGGTGCAGAATTAGATACGGAGATACCAGGCTGTTCAAACAGTCAGGAATTGCTGGAGGGAGACTCAGAGGAGAAGAAAGAGGACACCAAGGAAGCTGAAAGCATTGCAGATGCTGCCGAACCCATCATTGAAGGAACAGAAGAAGAGGCAGTTGACGAGGAACCAAAGGAGGAACTCAATGATGAGAAGGTTTCTGAAGCTGTTTTAGAAGAGATGGAAGCTGAAGAAGCCAAATGCAATCTCTCTGCCCTCACCAGCCAAAACAACCACAAAAAAGACTTGCCCAGTACCATTCAGACTTCTGTCCAGATCATGAAAGCCCTGCTGGCATCCAAACAAGAGCCAAAGATGGACCGAGCACATAGTTTGCCAGAGGTATCTCCAACAATGGGGAGAAAGCTCAGCAACTCAGCCAATATTTTGATCACCTGCCTCGCAAGCCTTCAGCTCCTTGATGAAGAGTTAGACCCATCCAACAAATCAAGTAAAGGTCTCAATAGGCCGAGATATACAGAGCTCTTGAATATTTTCCAGGCCCTCTGGTGTGGGCACACATCAGAAAAAGGGGGGCCAAGTGCTGACATAAAAGAAGAGGGCTCAGCAAAAGTGCCCTCTGGTTACAAAGGCCACTGTTCAAAAGAGGGCGATTTCACTCCCATGTCCTCTTCAGGGGTTGATGTTAGTAGTGGTGATGGAGGTTCAGGAGAAGGGAGTGTGGCTGGTGGTCGGGATCATGCTTTGTCACAAGAGAAAACAGAGGAAGCCAAACCTGCCGAAGAAGATGCAGAAAATGCTGAACTGAAAGTTGGGAATGAGGAGGCTGAAGAAGAAGCTTCTCAGCCACCAAAATCAGAAGGAGGAGGTGAAGAAGTGGAATCTGTTGGTGGTGAGGAAGCAACTAAAGGCACAGAGGACTGTGAAACTGAGCAGGCAAGTGAAAAAGAAATGGCTGAAGAGGGAGCAGTGGAAGAAAGTGACCAACAAGAAAATGAACATGTGGAGTGTGGTGAAGTAAATGCTGATGGCGATATCATCCAAGTGGAACCTGGTAAGGAAGCAGTGGAAGAAAATGACCAAGAAGAAAATGAAAATGATGCTGATGGAGATATGGTCCAAGTGGAAGCTGAAGAGGAAGTGGTAGAAGTAACAGGCCAGCAAGACGATGACAATGTTGAGGGTGGAGAAGTAGATGCTAATGGAGATACCATCCAAGTGGAAGCTGAAGAGGGAGCAGTGGAAGAAACCAGCCAGCAAGAAGATGAAAATGTAGAGGGTGGAGAAGTGAATGCTGATGGAGAGACTGTCCAAGTGGAAGCTGAAGAGGAAACAGTGGAAGAAACTGGCCAGCAAGAAGATGAAAATGTAGAGGGGGGAGAAGTTGATGATGCTGGAGAAACTCTCCATGTGGAAGCTGAAGAGGAAGCAGTAGAAGAAAATGACCAGCAAGAAGATGAAAATGTAGTGGATGGAGAAGTGGGTGCTGATGGAGAGACTGTCCAAGTAGAAGCTGAAGAGGAATCAGTAGAAGTAAATGCTCAACAAGAAGATGAAAATGAAGAGGGTGGGGGAGTGGATGCTGATGGAAAGACTGACCAAGTGGAAGCTGAAGAAGAAAGTGGCCAGCAAGAAGATGAAAATGTAGTGGATGGAGAAGCAGATGTGGATGGAGAGACTGTCCAAGTGGAAGCTGAAGAGGAAGCAGTAGAAGAAAGTGGCCAGCAAGAAAATGAAAATGTAGAGGGGGGAGAAGTGGACGTTGATGGAGAGATTACCCAAGTGGAAACCCAAGAAGATAGCCTTGTTAAAGAAGCAGAAGACAGCCCTGGTCAAGAGAATGTTGACCAAGTGACTGAAGAGCCAAGCAACCATGAATTAACTGAAGAGCCAGGCCACAATGACCCAAGTGCAAAGGATGGTAATGCTGAGGAAGAGTCTGAAATAGGTGAAGCAAAGCAGTCTGAAGCTGATGCCCAACCTAGCAGCAAGATAGTTCCCCTTCAAGCCCCCATTGCAGCTTCCCCCATGGTACAACAAAGGTCCATTGACCCTGACCCCATCTGGGTGCTGAAACTTTTGAAGAAGATTGAGAAGGAATTCATGACTCACTACGTCAGCGCCATGAATGACTTCAAGGTGAAATGGAACCTGCCCAACACTGATGAGGTGAACCTGATGATCTCTGAGTTGAAGGAAGAAGTGAATCGAAGAATACAAAAGAGCATCGAGAAGGAGTTGAAGAAAATTAGAAGCAGGGCAGGCCGAAAGATACCAAGACCTCCTGATGAACTCCGCCGTGAGTCTACCCTTCAGGTGGAAAACCGTCGCCGTCGCTTGCAGAGCATTCGTAAAATGTCCCTGTACAATGACCAGAATCCAAACCAGAGTAACCCGCAAGAGACATTATCTTATGAGATTGATGAAGACTTCATTTTTAGTACCATTAGAGATGATGAAAGCGAGTTGCCTAGTGAGGAGGAGTATTGCCCATGTGATGCCTGCATCAGGAAGAAAATAGAGGCCAGAGCCTTCCGGGGCCCAGTCGTTCTACCAGTGGCAGCAAACGCACCTGTTGTGAAAGCTTTTGACCTCCACCAGATCCTGAAGATGAAGAAAGGCAGCATTCCTGAGAAGATGGTGGAGAACAGTATCGCTGAAGAAGACCAGGACGAAGAAGCTGAAGGGAAGACTGATGAACCTGAGGTTGCTCAGGAAACAGAACCTGAGGAGGGAAAAGAGGTGGGTGAAACCGATGAGAAAGAAGAAGATCAGAAAGTAAAAGAAGATGAAGTTGAAGTTCTCCCTGATGAAGCACCTGAAAATCAGAACTGTGAAGAAGCTGAGGGAGGGGAAGCAACAAATGAAGAAGCAGTGGAGAAAGCAAAAGAAGAAGTGGGAGAGGAAGAAGGAGATGAGGGAAAGGAAGGTGAAGTTGCAATAGAAGAAGAAGAAGAAAAGGAGGGGGAAGCAGATAAGAAAGAGGAAGAGAAAGAAGATGCAGAGGAGGAGGAGGAAGTAGATGTGAAAGTAGAGGAAGGGGAGGAAGTGGAAGCAGGAGAAGGAAAGGAAGAAGAATCAGTTAAAGAAGAAAACAAAGGGGAAGAAGTAGAAGAGGGAGACGTAATTGAGGAAGGAGAAAAGGAGGAAGTGAGTGTGAAGGAGGAAGAAAAGGAGGAAGAGGAAGCAAAGGAGGAAGAACAGGAAGCAGAAGAGAAAGAAACAGAGACAGAGGAAGTGGAAGTGGAAGCAGGAGAAGAAATGGAGAACTCTGTGAAAGAGGAAGAAGAGAAGGAGGAAATGGAGGAAGAAAAAGAGGATGAATCTGTCAAAGAGGAGGCAGAAGGGGATGCAGAAGAAGAAACAGAAAGGGGAGTAGATGAAGAACAAGGAGGAGGAGATGTGGCTCCTGACGAAGCAGAGGAAGAAAAGGAGGAGAAATCTGTGAAAGAAGGAGAAGAGGAAGTAGAAGAAGAAAAGGAGGGAGGGGAAGAAGGAGAAGATGCGGGAGAAGATGTGACTCTTGATGAAATGGAAGAAGAAAAAGAGGAGCAATCTGTGAAAGATAAAGAAGAAGAGGAAGTAGAAGAAGAAAAGGAAGGAGAGGAGAAGGAAGAAGAAAAGGAAGCAGAAGAGGGAGGAGAAGAAGTGGCTTGTGAGGATAATAATCAAGAAGAAGAAGAAGACAAAAATGAAGAAGAAGAGAAAGATGTAGATGAAGAACAAAAGGAAGATGAAGAAACTGAAGAAGAACCCAAAGTGGAAGATGAAGCAGATGGTGCAGCAGTAGAGCCAGAGCCAGAGGGAGGAGAAGGAGAGAGCCAAAAAGATCCAACTGAAGATGCAGAAAACGCTGATGATGATGGAGGCTTGGAAGCAGAAGCTGCAGAAAAAGAAAATGAAATTGAGGAAGACACTGAAGGCGGTGGTGGAGCAGAAGTGGTTGAGGAGGAGGACGCCAAGCCAGAAGAAGACTGTGAAGCTTGTTCCGAAACAGCTGAAGCAGAAGAAGAAGGTGAAAACAAGGAAGGTGAGGCTGAAGCTGAGGAGAAGGAAGAGGAAGCTGAGGGAGAAGATGGCAATGTACCTGAACAGACTGATGGAGATGAAGTAGACCCTGAGACAGTTGCAGAAGAGGAGGAGGCAGAGGATTGTGAGGAACCCAGTGAAGCTATGAAGAACCTCCGGAAAGCTTCGGCCATCTCCTCCATGGGGAACTGTTCACAACAATCTCAGAAAGGATCTGAGGATGGGAGCGATGGAGAAGAAGGTGAAATGAACAAAGATGGCAATGTCAATGGAGAGGCTGGAAGCAACTCAGAGAAAAAGTCTGGAACGATGTATGCTGACATCGAAGAAGAAGAAGAGGAAGAGGAAGAAGATCGAGCATCCTCACCAGGAAGTGGTGGGAAGGCAGAAGAACCCAAAACTGATGAAAAGATAGAGAACAACAGCCAGGGTTCCAAAAAGAAGGATGAGAACACAGAGGTCATTGATCAAGATGATCTAGACTTTTAGGATAAGATGTATTGAACCTTTGGGAGAAAGATGTTTCCTCACACTTCCTTTGACATGAGACTCATTTTTTCAACAGAGAGAACCATAATGTGGTATTTTTAAAAATACTTCAATATATTGTCCATGTGTGCAAGTGTGTTCCTCCTCTTTTTTGGAGGGTAAAGACATCTCTGGTGGAGATCTCTGCTTTCTTCAGTGGAGGAGTTTCCTCGTTCTTGTTCTTTTGCACATGATGTTCCTGCATCTTAGAAATCTTATGACATGAGAATAGCTACAAGCAGTGTATACTATCATCTTCCTAAAGGAATCAGGAGGCATGGACCTCAGTCTTACCTGGAGGACCTATTTGCTGATTCCGGGTATCAACAGATCACATCAAGATGAGTATTATATGACAACGAATATCTGAGAGCAAACATCAAGCCTTGATTTTTCTCCATATGTTAAATGAATGTTCAGACACTGAGAAGTACATTGATGTGTGTTGACATATTTGTCAACTGGATTTTCAGTGTTTTTATCCATCTACATCTGAGAAGAATGAAAGTACAATTGTGATGGGTGGTATTTATACCATTCGTCTGTATTAATCTCAATGACATGATTGGGACACAGATTTTGACTGAGACCCTGGAGAACTGCTATTGGTCAGATTACGGCATGTTGAATTATATGGACAAAGAGTCTGACCTGGCACAATATTGGAATATTTACATCCGTTTTGGTTTGCACTTTTCAACCCATGCTAGTAACTAGGGAGTAAGTTCCACTGAATGCAGTGGAACTTCCGAGTAAACATACCTAGGACTATGCTGTTAATGTATATTTCAATGTATCTACCTGCTTTCTTTTAAATCTTCTTTTTATGCCCAAACAGAGAGAACAGAGAGGGGTTATTGAGTTGTTTTTGGTGAGATAACGTGACCCTCTTTATATTGTTGAAGGCTTTCATGGCCAGAATCACTGGGTTGTTGTAAGTTTTTTGGGCTGTATGACAACAGACCTCACAGCCTCTGAGGATGCCTGCCATAGATGCAGGTGAAACGTCAGGAGAGAATGCTTCTGGAGCATGGCCACACAGCCCAAAAAACTTAGAACAACCCTCTCTTTGTTGAAATCCAATTCTGGGCACTGAAGCTTAACATTTGAATCTTTCCGGTAATCCCAGTTATAGTAGTAAAGGTAAAGGTTTCCCTTTGTCATTAAGTCTAGTCATGTCCAACACTGGGGATGATGCTCACCTCCAATTCTAAGCCGAAGAGAAATGGAGGCGAGCACCATCCCCAGTGTCAGACATGACTAGTGAGCACCATCTTCAGTGTCGGACATGACTAGTGAGCACCATCCTCAGTGTCGGACATGACTAGTGAGTACCATCCCCAGTGTCGGACATGACTAGTGAGTACCATCCCCAGTGTCGGACATGACTACTGAGTACTAGGGCTGGGCAGTTTCGTTTCGTTAATTCGTAATTCGTTAATAATTCGTTATTTTTTTCAATTACAAAACGATAACGAACCATTCTGGAGCAATTTTTTTAAAAAAACGAATTTTTAAACACGTTTTGTAAATGCTTCGTATTTCGTTATTGTATTCGTTTCGTTATTGTTGAGGTCGTTTCGTTATTATTTCCGCATGTCTGGGCAAGTTTTTTGTTTAATTAGTGAAAAAAAATTATAATATCACACCAACAGTCAACAACAGAGGGAGAGGGAAGCTTCAGAAGTTTTTGGAGGTTTTTTAGCGTATTTCGCGGTCGCGTCCGCCATTAACGAATCGATTCGTTATTGTTTCGGAAATCGATTCGTTAATGTTTTGTTATTTTTTCACATTTACGAAATTTCGTAAATATCGAACTTTTTTAAAGGAAAATTTTGTAATTATTTTAAATCGAAACAAAAACCCCCCAAATACAAATCGATTTTAGAAACAAATTTTTCCGTTGTTACCCAGGCCTACTGAGTACCATCCCCAGTGTCGGACATGACTAGTGAGTACCATCCCCGGTGTCGGGCATGACTAGTGAGTACCATCCCCAGTGTCAGACATGACTAGTGAGTACCATCCCCGGTGTCAGACATGACTAGTGAGTACCATCCCCGGTGTCGGACATGACTAGTGAGTACCATCCCCGGTGTCGGGCATGACTAGTGAGTACCATCCCCAGTGTCGGACATGACCAGTGAGTACCATCCCCAGTGTTGGACATGACCAGTGAGTACCATCCCCAGTGTTGGACATGACCAATGAGTACCATCCCCAGTGTCGGATATGACTAGTGAGTACCATCCCCAGTGTCGGGCATGACTAGTGAGTACCATCCCCAGTGTCGGGCATGACTAGTGAGTACCATCCCCGGTGTCGGGCATGACTAGTGAGTACCATCCCCGGTGTCGGGCATGACTAGTGAGTACCATCCCCGGTGTCGGGCATGACTAGTGAGTACCATCCCCGGTGTCGGGCATGACTAGTGAGTACCATGCCCAGTGTCAGACATTACCAGTGAGTACCATCCCCAGTGTCGGACATGACCAATGAGTACCATCCCCAGTGTCGGACATGACTAGTGAGTACCATCCCCAGTGTCGGACATGACTAGTGAGTACCATCCCCAGTGTCGGACATGACCAGTGAGTACCATCCCCAGTGTCGGACATTGTCCATAGACACCTCCTAGGTCACGTGGCCAGCATGATTGCATGGAGCGCCGTTAGCTTCCCGCAGAAGCGGTACCTATTGATCTACTCACATTTGCATGTTTCCATGTTTTCAACTCCTAAGTTGCCAGAAGCTGGGCCTAATAGCAGGAGCTCGCCACGCTCCCTGGATTCAAACCGCCGATATTTTGGTCAGCAAGTTCAGCAGCTCAGCAGTTTAACCTGCTGTGCCACTGGGGGCCCCAGTTAAAGTATTGCATAAATTATTCTGATTCTAGGTAAATTCCATGGATTTAATGGATCTTCTCTAGCTGGAGTATTTGTCTTTTTGGTAGTCCATGGCCACTCCTGCTAGTGTTAGCAAGATTTCTAAGGAACAATACCTCATCCATACGTTTGTCATGAATTGGCTTGATGGCAATGGATAAAGCAAAGGTAAAGATTTTCCCCTGACATTTCCCCTGACGTTAAGTCCAGTCGTGTCCGACTCTCTGGGTTAATGCTCATCTCCATTTCTAAGCCAGAGAGCCAGTGTTGTCTGTAGACACCTCCAAGGTCATGTGGCCAGCATGACTGTTATCGTCCTGCTAGAGCGGTACCTATTGATCTACTAACATTTGCATGTTTTCACACTGCTAGGTTGGCAGAAGCTGCGGCTGTCAGCGGAAGCTCACGCCGCTCCCTGGATTCGAACCTGCAATGGATAATAGACTCCAATTGGGATTACCAGTAAGATTCAAAAGCAGAAGAGGGAGAGAATGTGGATCAGTTGGAACATGTCCATTGGAGGGCAGCCAACTCTTCAAAAGCCCTTTGAGATTTGGTGCATCCGCACTGCAGAATTAATGCAGTTTTACACCACTTGAACTACTGTGGGTCCATGCTATGGAATTCTGGGGTTCATAGTTTGGTGAGGCTCTCTTGCTATTTGATAGAGAACACTATATACTTTGCTAGACTACAACTCCCAGGATCCCATAACATTTGATCATGGCTATTATAGTGGTGCCAAACTGCATTCTTTCTATGCATTGTTGAAGGCTTTCATGGCTGGAATCACTGGGTTATTGTTTTGGGGGCTACATGGCCATGTTCTAGAAGCATTCTCTCCTGACGTTTCGTCTGCATCTATGGCAAGCATCCTCAGAGGTTGTGAGGTCTCACAACCTCTGAGGATGCTTGCCATAGATGCAGGCGAAACGTCAGGAGAGAATGCTTCTAGCACATGGCCATATAGCCCGAAAAACCTACAACAACCCAGTGTATTCTATAGAATAGGTAACATTAAGGCATCTCTCAACTTTATGAGGTCTGCTTCTCATTCAACTGTGTAGGATCAGAAAGGTCTACAGACATTTCCATCACAGGTGCAAATGTCTATGTGCCTTTATAGTTCCACACACCTGAATGATAAGCAGGCAGATGAAGGCTGACTCACCTCAATGGGAAGCAGGCCTGCAAGCAAATGTTTGTTTAGTGCCAACGATGATAAGGAAGGATTGGAGTGGTTGGGCAATTGAAACAATTGCCTCAGAATGGATCAGGATATTATTTTTTCTGGACAGCTCCCTGCTTGGGATGTTCTAGTTGGAGATTCTGCATTGAACAGTGGGTTGGACTAGATGGCCCTCCAATTCAATGCTTCTATGATCAATGCTCTAATTTTGCTAGGGTATTGTAGCTCACCAAAGGAAACAGCGGAGAATGTGGAAAAGGAAGAGGTTCTCTATTGCACTGCTGTATACAAAAGTCTCGAAACAGGAGAAGTCTATGGCTGGAAATCCGTGGGTTGGTCTCAGCTGCGGAATACCCTTGAACGGTGAGTCGAGGAGAGGTAAATCCCACTGATTCAATGGGTTTCTCTAATCAGGACTAACAATAGGTTGGGGGCTTATCTGTTGTCCAAACTTAGCACGAAATAGGTTTTAAAATAGTCTTGTTCTTAGTTCGGCGTTTCAATTGTCAATGCGATGTGTCAAATGGGGAGTAAAATGGAAGGATGAGACTTGAAAATAAAACAAACCTGCTTTGTTTATTCGTGATTTCTTGTTTTCCCTCTCCCCTTTGCTTCATTTCCTTCCTTATAAAGAGGTGGGCCTATGAATTAAAATAAGTCCCCCATGACCTTCTGGCAAGGAAACTAGTCCAATGTGGGCTAGGCAAAACTACGGTGAGGTGGATCTGTAATCAGGGGCGGCTCGTCCATTATGCGAAGTAAGCGGTCGCAGAACACTCTTTTTTTGCCAGGGGCGCAGAGGCGCCTCTGTAAATGCCCCTCGACCACCACTTGAGGAGCGCCCCCTCAGCTCACAACAGCCCTAGCAGTCCGGGGGGAGCCTCGGCTTTCTTGCCTCGCTGCTGGGTGAGCCTCTTCCCAAAGGGGCCAGGCCGTTGAGCCTCGCCCCTCTCGTTCCTGCTCCACCCGGCCAACGGGTGAGCGAGCAGAGCCGGCGCTCAATCGTTCTCCGTGTTTGATCCCTTCCCCATGACCGGCTCCCTTTCCCTGATCCCCTGGTGCTCCACCCGCCTCCTCTCCTCTCCCCAATCCGCGGGTGGGCCAAGGGACGGAGCCGCCACACCTGGCTCGCTTCGGGTCTGGAGGCGTGTCTGAAGACCCCAGCAGGCACACCAAAAGTTGCCTCTTCTCCTGACTTTCTCTTCAGCCATTGGGACCAAGAGAGAGAGAGAGACCCTCCGGCTGGAGGTATGTCCCACCTCCACTCCCTCCTTTGTTTTTGTGCCTACCTTCAGGAAAGGTGGGCATCTCCACCTCTCTCTCGGTCCCAATGGTGGAGGAGACAGTTAGGAGAAGAGCTGACTTTTGGTGCACACGCCTGGGTCTTCAGGCATGCCTCCGGACCCAAAACGGGC